TTGCCACACTTTCATATCTTGTAATTGATCGGATCATATTGACAAAGGGATTATAGTTTCATGATAAACGAACGAGTTTGGTTTTGTCATACCACGTGACATTTCCCATCACATGTATTGCCATAACACATTATTAGATGTCAATCTTGGATGGCGAGTGTGAATTGATGATAAATTAAAAGGGTGTTTTAATTTATCAATTTTAATTAGATCAAAATAATATTTCACGTCGTTAGCTATCGTGATCGGGAACTTGATGGGTCGCACACAAAAGAGAATTGAAAAATTACAATTTGTCAATTAATTAATTAACAATCATTGGATAAATTAATTAATTGGTTTGGTTATTAATAGGCCCGAATTAATTAATTTGATTAATTAATTCACGGACCGAATTTAATTAAATAGATTAATTAAATATTGGACCGGACCAAGCCAGACTCGTTTGGGCTTATATAAATATATGGCTAGGGTTTTCAATCCATATGGTTTTTCTCATAATTATTATTGCTAGTACAAGAGGAGAAAACCCTAGTAGCTACAATCTTGTTCTCTGTGTGGATCACCGTTGGAGGCTGGACAATTGGACAGCTGTGGGTAATGAATCAAAATTACTGGAACGAAAAGAATAGCAAAGAAGTTTGCAGATCTGGAAAAGGTACAATCTCATCATAATTTCTATCTAAACACAAAGGCGATTCTTGATGGGAATCGAAATCTGTTTTAATTTTTTGCTGTGCATGTTAAGTAGATTTCCAACAATATCAACAACCTTTTTTTCTTTTCGGCAGTTAGCTGAATGCTGTTCATTTAAAAAAGAATTCTTTTGGAGTTCTTTTAATTCAGAAACTCCTCCTATTTTCAAAGTCTAAGTTGTATGTTATTGTCCGTATTGGAATGAGAAAATTAATGAGCTTGCTAATATGTTGTTTGAATTGCATATTTGCATATGAACCTTTATTTAAAAGTAACATATTCGGGTAATAATTTGATTATGCAGAAGCAAATATTTGGAAGCCATTTGTGCCAACTTATGCTAAAATATGAGCATCTTTTATCCTTTAGCTATAACTAATTTCACATGGGATTGATTATTTATGCACTTTACAAGTCCAAATGTTTGAAAAAAGATAAAACTAAGTGTAACTTAAAGTGCAGAAGTGGTCTAATTAGATGAGTTAGCAACATCCATTGTGGGACATTAATCTTGGTGCCTCTTTCATATTTTATTCGGCCACAATTTTCATTTTTGCAGCATTCTCTATGGTTTGAATTATGTTAGTGTACAATCAATTTCTTAGTTGCATCTTTGAAAAATTTCTTGATGCAATCGTCAAGGTGACTTGTAATTAGGAATGTTAAATTTTTGCATCTCACAATCAATTCTCTAGCTCATATACTAAATTGGTCTAATGACTTTAATATGGCATTCTTCTAGCCTTTTTTTGGCATTGTCTCCAATTTCTAATGTGGATAATTAGATGGTAGAAGTAAGACAAATTCTTTTCTAAATATATAGTGAAATATTATCGTTGTATACTATAACCAAAACTAGTATTTTTTCATTATACATGTGAATTGATTGGGTTAGATTACACGGAGATTCTATGATTTTATTTTGGGAAAACGGTTAAAAGATTTAACCTTCAATAATGTGCTTAATTGATATTTTAAAAGAGGTTTCAATATAACTCTTACTAATAATAGTGATTTTATTATTATTATTCAATTTGGACATGTAACTTATATTTTGATGTTAGATTATCTTATAATAATACTACCATGTACCATGATCAATTTGATTTAAGTCTCGAAAGCTTTAAATATTAATAATTAAAATAATAAATTTGGCATTTAATTATTTATAATTTTATATGAGCCCTCATAATTTTAAGCTATTAAAATGAATGCATGTGAAATGATAAATTCGAGCTATATTCTCTATTTGCTAGAATTTTACATATTTGTGTTTAATCGCAACAATATTTCTTTTATGGAATATATGATGTACTATATTTGAAAATTAGTTTTGGTCTAATTAAATTTTGACACGGTGTTTAGCTAATTTGGAGTACAAAATTGCATATATTATGTGTCCAATGCTTATTTTATTACTATGAAGGCATATTTACTTAGATGAAAAATAAAATATAACAAATAAATTTAAATGAGAATTTAAACTTACCTAATTTTCAATAAAGTCCTTAAAGTTGGTTCACAAGTTCCCTGTATGGCATGTTTAGTTTCCTCCAAGGTATGGTGCAAGTATCTTAAATCATATGAGGTAAATGTGGTGAGAATGTGAATTTGATTTGTGATATTGTTTTGACCTTTTTCATGTTTAATCACTCTTACTTCGACAGATATAATAAATATAATCAATTATTTGTTTATAATTTACTGTTGTGGAAAATTAATTTTGCGAATGTGTTTAATAAGAATTTGCGGATCTATTGATGGATGAAAATCATGAAAGTGTGAGGTTGGTAAACATTTGCATCAACCATCTTCTAACAATGTTGGATCCTATTGGAAGAGATAAACAGTAAGACATATATTTATTCAATTAAAGTTGTATATCTTTGAAACATGGGGGTGTTAAAAATTTTACTTTATATTTTATTGTTCTTAATTGAAAAACTGATTTTTGAAAAGTGTTAAAAAAAAAAAAAAACTAAATTGTAGACGTGTAGGTGAAATACAAGAGCTCAATGGATGCATCTGTTTAAATGTGTTACTAGAAATCAATTTCAAGATCTCATATGTTTATCTTATTATAATTAAATATATTTTATTAACATTTTGAAAAGTTAAATGATTTTGCACATGTGCAAATATGCAAGCGGAGAATAAAAACTTTGCAAATTGATGGTACCAAATTATTGTCTAAGAGGGACATAAATAAATTGTAGTCCAATATGGACATACATAAATCATCGAGGGAATGAGTTTGAGCCCATTAGATAGCTCCCTCTTGGAGTAACTCAACCTCTGTGATTGAAGATTCCATGAAGAAGGTTCAATGTGGTAAAGATAACCCGTACTGCGTGACTCGTAATAGCACTATTTTATCTGTGTTCATCCCTATGGTGATAGTGCTAATAATAAAATGTGATGTTAAGAAATGTTTAACCCAAAATGAGTATCGAGGCGAGAATTATCGTGAGGAGGTTACACGCACCCTTAGAGGACTCACCTGAGTAAGGGTTGTCATGAGGCTGTGGCTATGAGATTGAGCTATTCCTCAGAGACTCTTACTAGAATCACTACAAAAAAATGCGGCTTCAGAGATGGAAATTTTTATCGCAGATGCCTTAAATTTCGTCGCTAACGACTTTCACAAATGAATTTGATCGGTTGGGAGGAAATCCGTCGATAATATGCTTGCCGCTAATTTAGCGAGAATTACTCACGTCGTCGGTAATTTAGCAACGGAAGCAGCAGTCGGTGTTTACCTACGACTATTTCTGTCGCTAATTAGACAAAATCTCGTCGCAAATTAGCTACGGATTATGTCCATTTATGATTACCAAAGAATTTTCGTCACTATTTCCATTGCTAATTTGAATTAAAATCTTAAAAAAATATGATTTATTTTAATAATTATTTTCTTAAAAAATTCATACATTAAAGTTCAAATTAAAAGTTGAAATCCAATAATCAAGATCATCAAAGAAGTGAGCAACCTATTCATCTACGAATATCTTAAAAAACAAGATTTGATACATATTCATTGGTCCTTGTTAACATAGTTGCCAGACCCGACCTGGATGTCGACCCGAACAATGTAGTGGGTCAACGGGTCAGTGGTTTAACCGGTGACCTGGTGGCTCAACCGGCCGGTCAATTCCTATAAAAAAATATTATTCTCTAATATTGTGTCAATAACCTTCTAAAACAATATATACTACTATCCAATTCACCTTCTAAAACAATACTACTCTCAAGGACATTGCCAAAATATGGTTACACATGAACTTTATGGCATGTCAAATGCTTGATCAATGGAATAGAATTACACGGGCCAACAAAAATTTGAAACACAAAACAATAATTTAATATATCATAATGCACATCACATCCTAGGAAAATTTCCCAAAACACAGGGAGTCTATAAACATCTGTCACAATTTACAAATACATAAATTATAAAGCAGAGCAATTATCCAAGAATAATCTTCACTAGTATTCTTGAAAATTTAAATAGTTAAGGGTAAAAGATCATATGTTGAAGGGTGCATTCACACATCATATACAAGACCAAATAAAAAAAGTTATCATGCACAAGATTGTCTCATTATCTGTAGCAAAATATCAATGAAAACCAATAAAACATGTTAGGAAAATGCGGCTTTATAAGTGGCAATTTGCCTGATGATGAGATCTGGCTCTATTCCTACCGTTGTATGAAGGGTTACATTTTCTAGTGATATATATGAGACTTGACGCTTCGTTTGGCCTGTGTGACTGTTCATTCTGTTTGACTTTTCGAGTGAGGTTCGAGAGAGTTCTTCTGTGTTCTTGAGTTAGGTTTTCTGCTTCCCTATTTTCTGTAATCGATCTTCTCATTCGATTAGTATATTGAAGGTTTCAATCACTGAACGTTTTTATATTCTTGAGTGATACTTAGAGTCTTCATGTGTTGAGGTTAGAGATTTGGTTTGTTGATTCGTTGTGGGTTTGAGGCAAATCTATGGTTTCCTTGAAGAGATAAGTCTTTTTTCTGTGTATTCTTGTAGTGATTGAACTCTGTAACCTTCGATTGCCTATTTTTGGGGCTTTAGTGCAACCGAGAAATATCCATTTTGATTGGATGCTCAACAAGGGATTAGATGCTTAGTCACTGAACCTCTGGGGCTTCGGCCGAAAAATCTTATTGTGTTCTTTACTTTCTACAAGTTTAATTTCTGTTTTTTTGATCGATTGAATCTTGCAACTTATTATGTGGGTTTTTCGCCCCCTTTCAATTTGAAACTGCAATTTAGTTCAGAAACATAAAAATGGCTGAATGTCTTTACCCACTTACACCTCTTGAATTTTTCGAAGACAAGCCATCCACGCTGACATGTATGGTATGAAATCTTTTTATTTGAAAGGGACAAAATAGGACTGACTACCCACGTAAAATTATTTTCTATTTTTTGTTCAAGTGACAAAATAGGTCTGACTATTTTCACATATTAATGCGCTTGTTTTTCTTTTTGAGCAGATATTGCTTTAAAGATGTTAAATAAAAATACAAGAAAAGCTACTTCAATAGCGATAAGCACATAAAGTGCTTTACAAGCTTTAGCTCAAAAACCTTTATCGTACAATCTCAAATTTCAAGGACGGATATGGGAAAGACTTGTTAGCATCATTGCTACTATACCTTATATTTCATGTAAGACCATAAACCTTTCTCACTCTTTTCCACAAGTTAGACCAATCACTTATCAAAAAAATTTCTACTTACTAGATAAAATTAATCCTTAGATTATTGCCTTATTGATGATGATGTTGTAATTTTGTCCTTATCACTCGTTCACTTCAATATATACTTATTATTATACAAATAGAAAATTAGTTTTTTCTACTTCTCAAAGTTGATTGTAATATTAGGCTATTCACTAAACAAATTGGAATTAACAATGGGATGGACGATGTATCAGGATTAATCATTAGAGATCTTATGTTAAAGTTGATAATAGGAAGAACGAAAAAACTATATATACAGTTAAAATACTAATTTTCCAATATATACATCAACCGTTTCAAAAAGGAGTTTTAATTCGTTAAAACTAAATCGATCATAAAAATATTTTTTAACTGAATATACCACCGAATATGTGTTGAAGCTTCTTCAATTGTACCCTTAATCTTTAACTTTTTTTTCTCCGTATTGATAATTAAGATTTCTAATCATCCCACCTTATATTAATGTCTATTCAAACTAAACAATGATGAATTTCAGAACCATCTAGCGAATGCTACATTACTCCTAGTTTTTCGAAATCTTTGGGTTTGTAGTCCACACGTTAATTTTGCTTGGATGTTTAGATTTCAAAAGGATAAATAGCTCACTTCAAATGCGGAGACAAGCCAAAAAGTTGGTAATGGGATTGTGGGAATAGATTCCAAAGACATTACTCGACTCCGACATCTTAAAGACTCAGATACTTCATGATGCTGCAAAAATAGGGAATGTCAAGTTTCTAACTCTGTTTACTCACTCAGTTCCTGAACTTACATGGAAAGTCAACTCAAAAAATAGATACTGCATATTTCACGTTGCTGTTATTAACAGACAAGAGAAAGTGTTCAGTCTCATATATCAGACAAGAGCTACTAAGGATTTTATTACATATTATATTGATGATGAAGGAAACAATAATTTGCACTTGGCTGGGAAATTATCACCTCCAAGCAGACTCAACACTGTATCAGCTGGGCCAACTCTTCAAATGCAGAGAGAGCTACTGTGGTTTAAGGTTAGAAATTAACATGGTCACAAGGCCCGTTCCCTTCGAAGAGAAGAGGAACACTTCATAGCATCATGGTAAATTGTATCATGAATATATGTGTATATATCCTAGTTTTTGGAAGTCTCCCATAGACTATTCTATGCAATACAAAAATTAAATTTTGGATGGTTTTGCAATATACATTAATTTGAGTAAGCTTTACAGGAGGTGAAGAAGATTGTACGGCCTTCCTATGTTCATATGAAAAACAATGAAGGCAAAACACCAAGGGAGTTGTTTACGGTGGAGCATGAGAATTTACGGAGAGCTGGTGAGAAATGGATGAAGGACACAGCAACTTCTTGCATGGTTGTGGTAACTTTAATTGCCACAATTGCGTTTGCTGCCGTCTTTACCGTACCTGAAAGGAATAAAGAAGAAACAGGCACTCCAATTTTCTTGACTGATGGGTGGTTCACAATTTTTGTTATATCTGATGCTGTGATAATGTTTAGCTCGACAGCTTCCATAATGATGTTCTTGTCTATCTTAATTTCACGATATGGAGAAGATGATTTTCTATTTTCATTACCAGCAAAGCTGATGGTTGGACTAATTACACTCTTTCCTTCAATTGTTTGCATGCTTTTAACATTTAGTGCAACCTTCTTTTTGGTCTACAAGGAAGAAAAACAAGAGATATTACCGAAACTTGTTGCTGCTCTAGCTGTGCTTCCAGTCACTTTATATGCAGTGCTAAATTGTAGGTTATGGATTGCCCTAATCGACTCAACATGCTGGGCATTATGTTTCGACCTGGTAAGCACAGGCTTTTTGATGGAGATCAAGACATAGATTAATATAGAATAAAGATGAAGTTAGATAGGATATTAAATTAGAGTCTAATTCAAATTATATTTATTTTAATTTGATTAGATTAATTTTAATACTTCAATAAAGTTTTAATTTATTCGAATTTTGATTTATTTTAGTTTCTTTCAATTTCTTGCTCTATAAATAAATTAGAGTTTCTTTCAATTTATTTTAGTTTAATTCAAGTCTTTTATTTTAACGTTCCTGCCATTGCCCGGAAGATTGAGGGAATGATTCTTTAACAATTGGATGAGCATTGGCTTCTGCAATCATTCAAATGTCAGTATTAGCAACTATCAAGCTTGCACATGCATAGTGTTATGAATTGATCGCAAGATGATGACAATAATGAAATAGACAAGAACAAAATAAAATCACCAAGATTTATATGTAAACCCAATATGGGAAAAAACCACAGCTTGAGGAAGGGAAATCTACTATAATCAATAATAATTTTGTTTACAATAAAATCTCAATATTCTCAATTAAGATCTAAAATTTTTAAGATGCTATATAAATGTTGTGGGAACAATACAACCCGTGACTTAAATATATATAAAACTCAAGAAATTGAGTTGTAAATGAATAACAGTCCAAAAATGCGTCAAAATGTGAAAGGGGCCTGTGTCGGATAACCTTATCGCTGGAGCGGCAGGCAAGTGATATGCGGGAGACAGCTTTGTCACTCGAGTGCTAGGCGAGCGTCAATTCTCTGCAGAAAATATGGAGGTGCCGCTCGAGCGGCCAACTAGCGGCAGCCTAACGAAAATGCATCCACTTTTTTTTTTTTTTATCCATAATTTTGATTTCTTTAAGACCATTTCAACCAAAACTTCAATACCCACTAAACATTGTGTCAAACTCCAACAAATTTTCACCTTGAATCAAAATCCAATAAAGAAATTTCAAAAACACATCTCCAAATTATAAGGAGTCCATTTTCTCCAAAGATGGGAACACATGCCAATATCTCAATTGATTGCACAAATTTAACACTAGTTTTTGATTTTGGATCTATTTATAGGATTCACAATTTACAGTCCCAGCATCATAAATTGAATTTACCAAACTTTTTAGTTCCTAATTTGGACGATAAAACATTTTGAAATCACAAACAACACACGTTGCCAACGTTGTAACATAAAATAAGTTTCAAACTTTCACAATTAAAACCTATTAATTTTCAAATTTTATTTTAATTTTCAGGTTTAATTATGAAATTTAAAACTCATAATATTATATTAATTGTGGGAGTTAGAATTTGTCCCTATAGAAGGGGATTGGTTTCATTGTGTTGGACACAACTTGAAAGATAAATATTTTAAACAATTCATGCTATACTCTTATAATTTTGACAACTCAATAAAAGGTTCGTTCACTTATTTTCCTATTGTTATGCCCATAAAAGGAAAACCGACTGTGAGCTACAGAGTTTTATCTTGAAGCCGTATAGTGTCGAAATTACCTGCACATAGGGAGGCAACAGATTTTAGGATAGCGTCTTTGACGTGATTCCAAAAGCTTTCTTCCTAAATCTCGTATCTATTTTTTGTTAAATTATTGTTAAATTGTATTTGTTATTTTATCATGTTAATTGATAATTATTTTACACACAAATCACTCATTTTTCCTAACAATCTAAAGTCGTCTTGGAGGATTTGTGCATAGAAGAGATAGTGTTTGATGCATTGCTACTTTGAATTTTGGTTTTATAAGTGAACGACAGATCCAGAGGGCATGTTTTGCAACTATTTGCAGCCATGGTGGTACGCAATCTCATTGCCTGATATTTTGCAGATCGGAGCCTATAGTTTTATTAAGCTCAATATTATGTTCCTTAGCTATGGGTAATTGAATTTTTTTATTTTTTTTGTGTAATGGGCAAAAAAAAAAAAAAAAGGGGTAACCAAAGATTTGAAAATACATTGAAAGATTTTTTTTGGAAAAAAAAAAATCTTTTTATCGTTGAATGATGTTCATTCTTGTCAAGTATTTTTTATATTTTTGATAATTAGTAGAATAAATGACAAATTAAGGGTTTTAGTAATAAACACATTTTAAACTCAATTTTCATTGTTTTAAAGAATGGAAGAAACAATGAATATAACCGTGAGTAGAAATTAAAGGGGGCTTTGCTCATAAGCCTTGTATGTTTCAATTGAAAGCCAAATCTTGTTGGTTTTCATCCGTAAGTGCATAGAGCTATAGAGGGGACGAGCGGCTTAATGGTTTTCTTCCTTGGTATTCCACTAAAAATGGGTAAAATGTAATGTGAAGGAGAGCGGAAAAAGGAGACGTTTTCATCATCCCCTTACCACCAATTTATCTTGTGTTGCAGTAATTCTACTCAACTTCTTCATAACCAACCTTGGAAGGTAGTATCATGTTTCTTGTGTATAAAAGGGCTCTTTGCACTCGATTTATTGTTGCGAATGATTTAATTTTGACACAATCTAAGATTCTCATATTCTCTCTCCTTAGATTTTATTTGTATAAAAAGGGGCACACCTCAGCATAAATTGGGGTCTTTGTTAAGCAGCAACTAGGGTTTCCTTCAAAATTCCCAACTTAGGGGCAAAAGTGAGAGATGAGAACTCTGAAGGGTGGTTGCCCATCTCCTTTTGCCAATGATTTCACTCTTCCCATAAAAATCAACAGCCCTTTTTATGCTTCTAGTATATGTATCGGTTTTCTGTTTATACATATAAATTGGGGAAAAGAGTGAATTTGATCAGTGATCTTTGAATTTTCAGCTAAATCTCAATTGAGTCACCGAATTTTAAGTAAAGTTCATTCTGGGAATTTTTGCTGATGCTAAGGCTGTGAGAGTTGGGTCGGCCATAGAGAAATGGAACTCGTATCTTGGCGAGGCAAACCTTGGTAGCAATATTGCAAGGAGGGAGATTGATCACGTTCTCTCTTGGCATCATATAAATAGGAGAATAAGCCCATACAAAAAAAAAAAAAAACTCCCTTAAACCTAAAAATTCATATATTCAACATATTTTGGAGGCGAAGAACGAGGTTACATCATCAACATCAAGGGAGTTATGCAAAATTCTTGAAATTATCCATCCAAAATCAAAATTTCATTTTCTTCAATATTTCTTCTATATGGGTAATGTCTTTTCATTATTTTTCGTATAATTTAATAATTAGGATGTTGGCTAAGTTTTTCATTGTATTAGATGAATGATGAACCCTATTGTTTGTTTATTTTAATTCAAGACAATTAATTTTGTATTTCATGACTTTTCTTGATTGATTTTGCATTCCCATTGAACTATTTAGGAGGTGTTTGAGCCACATTATTTTGGTAATAATGCATTCTTGAATAGTGTATTGATGGAAAATATGTGGTTAAAAAATAAGGAAAAGTTTTTAATCTACTTGTAATATTATTTTATTGAAGAATGTGTGGTTGAAATGATGTCAAATCACTGTTTAAGAATGTATTTTTTGGAATAATGTGATTCAAATAGCCCTTAATTGCTTAATCAGCAATTAGATAGTAAGTTGTTTGTTGTAGCGTAGGAATACTCGCAACAAATCTAGAACGCGGTAAAATCAACACATAGACAATATGTATTGTGAATAATATATATGGCACATGCAATCATGTGTAAAAAATCCTGTGAATCAGTGCATGTTTTTCGTATGAATTCGGATTGAGAATAGGATCGGGTCGTATTAAACATAGGTTTAGTATATCTTGGAAAAGAATATTGAATAAAAGTGGATTATCGATTGTACTGAATACATGAATTTGTTAAATTATGAATTAAAAGTTGAATTAAATGACAATTGAGGGATTTTGCTAACCTCCGTGGTTTTAATTCTATTGATATTCAGAAACACATATTTAGTTTCTTCTCATTTAGTCCTTTTAACTATATGAATTCTTGATTTTTATGTAAATTAATTGGATCTCATGAAATATGTAATTAAAAGTGGAGAAGAGTTTTGAATCTAATAAAATATGTGGTTACAATTAAAATTTAACCAACTTATAATCGTTATTAAAAAAAAAAACTATTAAACAAGAGCTAAGTTTGAAGTATTACCATGATTATACTATAAAATAGATATTCGGTTTTGATCATTATGATTTTATCAAGTTGTATAACTATTTTGTCGAGTTCCTTAAATAAATAAATAAAAAGAACAGGTAAGTATACCTCACTTAAGAGTTGTTTGTGAAAGATTTTTTTAAAAATTATCTTTCCTCCAAATCGTTTTAAAATACATATTCTATGATACTCCCAAGTTTTCTTCACTTTTAACCACACATTCTTAAATGAAATTATAATCAAACTCATATTAAAACTCATACGTTGACTTTATCTACTAATTAAAAATGACTTTTCGAATAACATCGCCTGTAACGATAACAACTAATTTCTTTATAGGATAAAGGACCCAATAAGATGCACGCACTACATTGGATTGTTGGGCAAACTAAAGTCACCCTTAAAATAATTTAATTAGGCTAAACACGTGAAATGAAGATTAGCCATGTCACATTAAACATGTCCAAAGCAGACACAAACGTGATGACTAAGTGAAACACTAAAATAAAACATATACACTGAAATATAATAAGCTATTTTTGATTACTGTATCAAACAATAAAACATGCCCAAGTAAATATTAAGTCCCTATTTGAAAAAACTTTTTGAAACTATAAGCTAGTGAATCTCATGAAATATCAAATATGTGATTAAAAGTTCTGAATCCAATGAAATGTGTGATTAAAAATAAAGTTTAATCAACTTATAATTTTAAAAAACTATCAAACAGGAGCTAAATTTGGAGTATTATAATGATCCTACTATAAAAAGATATCCAATCTTGATCATTACGATTTTATCGAGCTGTAGAACCATGTTGTCGAATTACTTAAAAAAAAAAAAGAGGCAAGTATACCTCACTTAAGGCTTGTTTCTCAAAAATATCTTTCCTCCCAATCATTTTCAAACAAA